GGATAGGCCTCATTATGATATTGAATACTCCAAGCCGTATTGCATGTAAGGTTAAGGCTCCAGTAATCTTTCTGTACACTTGTCTGGCTTTTGCGAATTGTTGTAGGATATGTTCAGAGGAAGTGGGTTTTTGGGTATCTAATTCGCAAATCCGTGACTGAATCGGACTGTTTGATCATGGTCCAGAAAAGATTGACTGAGCAATTCGGTATTCGGCATCTGTACCTGAATATCTGGGATTTTCTTAGACAAAAGTTCATAGACAGTCTTCCGTTCGATGTGTTCATCACTGTTAGGTCGTCACGTTTGCCCTGACGTAACGGTCAATGAGTAGACTAGTTTAAATCATCTGCAAAATTTGGGCGTCCCTGTTTTACGAGATCACACACATTGTTTCTATAGATTAAGAGAAGTACCGGCTAAAGCACGTGTCCCTGGAAGACAGCACTGGTTATTCGTTCCGATGTGGATAACGTCTGTCCCGTTTAGACTCTTTGGGTCCGATCGTTTAGATATGAGTCCAACCAGCTTAGCAGCAGTTTTGCAATATCGTATGGTTGCTGCACAACTTACAGTGGCTTGTGTGGCACGCATTCGAAGACCTTTTGCACGTCCGTGAGAAGAATACCGCAATTCCTCTGTTCATCATGGTTGCAACATGGTCAAAGAATTGTAGCTGGCAAGTAACGTAGGTGCGCCTTAAAAGAAATATATGCCGTGATTGGTTGACCAGTTCAATCATGTCCGAAAGCGAACAACATTGCTCCTGACTGACCGTCGCAGGACTTTATAAGCAGCAGAATTATGGTTTAGAAGGTGGTAGCTTGACATTTTATTTTACGGGCCCCTTTGTGTTTCGGCATTATGATAGAGTGCTTCCACTGAGGTGGGTAGAGGCTGGTGCTTCGGGTTGAAGTGAAGATATTTAGGTACAAGATAGAAATATTTTTACCATCGTGTCTTCTGACAGTTGGGGGCTTACTCTTTGGGCCGGGATAGGCCGAGGGTTTTACGGAGGTAATGGCGTTCTGCACATCTATTTACGTCACCGGCAGATTATGGAACATCTCGCCGGTTCATCTGGGGATTGGGGGTCAGAACATGCGGGTGACAAATGAGGAGACTAAGCTGGAATGGAGTGACACGCAAAAACAGGATATGTCGAAGGTTGATAAACCAATGTATAATGCCGACGTTTCGATTGTTTGATGCGGTTTGGGGTCCTAAGTATCCATGTCAGTGCCCTAGATTTTTCAGGATTTTTCAGCGCTCTAATTTCGTTGGTGAATTCGGCATTGTGCTTCAGCGCTTATAGCTTTGATAATGCTTACTGTATATATGATGACATATCGAAAATGTTGGCGTTGTGATAGGATGGATTACTTTCGGTCTTGTTCATTTTTGTATGCTTCTCGCATTGCTTCTAGTTGCGGCTCCTTACTACAGGTGCCAGTACATCAGTACACGCAGCAACGTTGATGGCAAATTCACCGGCAGCCATAGTCGGGTTGTTGGTTCAGAATGATGGCTCCCAATTCATAGTGCAGCTAAGTTCCTTAAATGCATTCCAGTCAATTCGCTGAATGTTATGAGTGGGTTGTAACTTTGTACTGGAGTGGCTTAGTTGGTTAAGTGTTCACGAAACAAAACGCCGTGTTGTGGTCGCAGCCGGGTAGTGGACTGTCAGTGGAATGCATCCTCATGGTGAATACTAAATCTAGAGTATTGACTTTTTAGGTGGGCCCTCTGATATGTGTGGTGCAGCAATTGAAGTGTAAAGAGTACACCATTTCGTATTGTTTCGTTTATACCCTAGGTCTAGTTAACTTGTTAACTTGTGCCACGTTAAAATCTGCGCACATAAGTTTGAACCTGCAGGTAGTGTTAGAAACTGAGTTCATAGCATCCAGCAGCTGCAAGTTTTCATGGTGCGTTGCTCGAAAAGTCCGTAGATACAGCCAAGTGCAAGATATCAACAAATTGACACGTTTCGCAATCTAAAGTGTGCAGTGAAATAATTTACCCATATCGAGATATATGCTTACGACGGACTTTTCATCCTCAGCAGATATTGTTGTGTGTTTAAGAGCGTACAATTGGTAAGTCGCACCAGACCAGGGGAGTAGAAAACCGTTATGCCTAATTGCTCAGATAATCAGAAAACAAAAAACCTATCGTCTCGTATTGACTATTCGTTGTTGTTCCAGACAGTCGGAGTCCGATTTAACAACTAGCAAACAATATGTTGGCCTGTTGCCAAGGACACCCGGCAGTTTAGATCCATCCATATTCTCTCGGGTGCTCAACGCCTACGTAAGTCCCAAGTCGAATTCGCTATCCACGCTTTGCAACGCTGGTTAAAGTGCGACTTCGCTGCGCTCGAAAGACGCCGGGCAACGTAGATTGCCAAGGGCTTGGTCCACCTTCCGCATCAGAATGACTGCAGAGACACGAATTGCTCATTGGACGTTAGGGGGAGACCTCTGTTTAATATACCATATACTGAGTAATCGCAGTCATGTATGCCGACACCATGTGACGCTCAACCGGAACACCGGGTTAGCATGCTCTGAAACGCTCTTCAAAATCCAGTACTCTACGCACCTAAATCGTCCATTTTCAATACGTGTTGGGATATTGAACTCAGTTCCCTAAACTTTGTTGTCTGAACGAATACTCTGCAATGTATTTATGTGTAGCTTTGGACTTATCATCCACAATGATGACGCAACTTGCTGAAGGCGAGTGAGCAATCCCATCTATCTTTACCTATAACGGGAATACGATGTCTTGTACTGTTACTTCTCACAGTATCATGCCATTTCGATAATGTTGGATCTGGATCAAGTACGTGTAGGTCGTACAGTCAGTATCCACCTTGTAAAGGGAGAACATGTCTTTCACTCATGGGTTTGCAACATTGTCTCTCAGTGGCTCTATCATTTGTAATCTTGTCAAGTTTCTGTGTTCCTCGATCGTTCCCCACCCCGATTTCCCGCTAAGAATTGATGCTAAACACCAAGTGTTTTGGATCGGTTTTCAACCGCATCTGTTAACTACGTCTTTTTCATTCTGGCATTGTACCACTTTACTGGACGTTGTACGGCCATGGGTCCAGTTCACACTGACCATGGGCACCGCAACCCTGTTCTTTGTTCGAATGCAGGTGGTGAATCACATGTATCGCTTGCACATTGTTTTCATCCATCTGCTGGGAAACAATTGCCATACTTTACGCATCGTCTCTGGCCTTCCGCATACATCCTAAGTGATTTTTGTTAAACTATGCACAGTCGGCCGTGTTCCGTTGCCCAGCGAACGATCACTCCATGCCCAGTGCGATCAGGCTCGCATATTTCAGTGGTCAGGCCAAACTTCAAGGCTTCCTATTGTTCAACCATGGGTTCATGCTAAATACGTCCATTCGTCCGTGCACGTGCTCCCCGATCGCCACCGCGAATTCACATGCATTGGTGCGGCAGAACTGGCCACCATCGACTTGGCGAGGCAAGTTAGGAACTTCGGTATCCCATGACAACAATCTTTGTTATGCACAGTTAACAGCGTCGCAAATGTCTGTGGCTGTTACAAGGGTAGTGTGCGAGGGACGTAACCTGGAACCAAAAAATATGCCTCATCCGTGCCACTTAGCGATCGTGGCACTGTGCCATCTCGTTGTAACTAGATAACGCATCCAAAACGCAGACAGCGCGATGACAGGTCACGTCATTAGTTGACCACCTGCGGTTGTCGAAGCGAATAGAGATGGGCCAAACGACGAGATTGGACTAGACTGAGCTCTACTATGACTTGGATTATGGTGCATTGTGAGAAAACCTACAAGCGAATAGTGGAGTTGGAATTTATGAAACACCGTTCATCGGCTGGCTAAACAGCCGCGGCCAATATCTGGAAGGAACTGAAACTCCTAAATTTGCTCAGACCGATGTGATCGCCGCGCGAGGCACCGCTCCAAACGGAAGGCAAGTAGATAGCTCCGAAAAGCAGCAAGCACGGAGCAATTCAACATCAATGAAAATAGACTGGGGCAGAAGTTGGAGAAAAAAGAAGAGAATATAAGGTACTAGGTCAAATGGTTTCGAAGTGAAACACAGCTTATCCGACCGTTCAGTTCATGGGTAACATCGTCAGCCATCTCCCGGAATTTGTACTAATAACGTCACCTGATATTTTCAAGCTCAAAAATTCCGTTGATGCGGGTCCACGGAGATTATCGATTCAGAGTTTAGTTCTTTTCGTCATATTGTAATATGTTTTATCTGTTTACATTTCTGTTCAACCTATGTATTGGAGTATCATAGGCTGCATCCTGAGCGCAGGAGGCAGTATTGTTTAGGTAATGCAAGCTTAGTTATCTGGAGTGTACAGATAGCTCTCTGTTTATCACAACGAAGGTTGCACAGATGCAAAAGTGTGTTACTATGGAACATGCATTTACAACACCGGTTCACCAAAGCGTATGCTCAATGGCAGACTTGCACTAGGCAACTGCTTCAGCTCATTGGCTCGAACTCACCGTTTGTTCACGGCATTTTGAACCACTCGTATTCTGATCGGAAAACAGTCGTAGTTTGTTCACCATACGCCAAACCAACCTTGAGGCAGTCACCGGTCGCGTGCAAGTTTGGTCATCTTGCGCTAACGGCGCTGATTTAGTTTTCTGTACACAGGCTGCGTCTCGGTTTCACTGACCTAGTCTACGAACCGCCGTCACTTGCCTCCTGGTAGGGGTTTAAAAATTCCAGCGAGTAGAATTTAATCGTCAAGTGGTGTTTTTTCAAAGTTAAAGGAAATAAGCGTACATGGTGCGTCATCCTCGATTGTCAGGCACGAGTCAGAAATGCGATGACAATTATTTCGGTACACCAGCAAAGTTCATGTGAGGTGCACTTTAACATTACCGTTGCTCTGGTGCTCAGTGATTCAACCACATTTTTTACAGGAACCGCGTACTTGGTTTGTCAACTGGCATCGAGAATATGGGGCGCATCCAGTGGCATCTGGCACTCTGCTTACTTCTCGCCTGGGTTATAGTATTTCTCTGTGTATTCAGGGGAATCAAAGCATCTGGTAAGGTAAGTCGTGCTCGTATTTTGGACCCTCCAAATTAAGTGTCCTTAAAGCTAATAGCTTACATTCAGTGACAGCTGCCGTACATATGATTTAGAATTCCAACCCTAAGGAGGACCTGTATCTCATATGTCATTATTACTTTGGTTGTAAGCATGTTGTTATTCTGCATCCAACAAGAAAGTAACTGCTTTTGTAAACATTCGACATGGACTTCATAATGCTAACCTTGCGGTTTTACTTACAGGTCGTGTACTTTACTGCCACCGCCCCGTATCTCTTCATGTTCATCTTACTCGGGCGAGCTGTCACATTGGAAGGATCCGTGGATGGATTACGCCATTTCATCTCAGCGGATTGGGAGAAACTCATGGATTTTTCAGTAGGATCACAATCTTCTTTCCACTGAAGAATAAAGGCATTGTTTTGCATACAAATCCGTTATACACAACATACATTTGCGCAGCTATATATATATAAATATATATATATATATATATATATATATATATATACTTAAATGCGACGGTGTGCTGAACAAGGCCTCAATGTCGACAATACATCGTTTTACGGCAGGTTGCTAATAAATTTTCAAGAATAATACTGGACGAAAAGCAATCCAGAGTTAATTTGCTCCAACCACCATCAGGGACTTATACAGCGCCTTAACTTAGGTAAATAAATAAAGACATGTTTTATTCCCAACAATGCAAGACAGGACTGCATAGGTCTGAGTTGGTGCTGTTAAAATAACGACAACAATAAGTTGTTTCTGAAAACAATGGCTAGACTGATCTAGTGGAAATCAAGTGAAGTGTCCTCAAACTAAAAGTTGTGGTCTGGCATTCGAATTTTTCGACTTGAAATTGTACACTTAATACTTTAGCATTGAAGCAAGTAGCATATTAACTTACAAATCCATCAAACTACTAGCAAAAACGTACAAAGTGTAACTCTAAGCTATCAATGGTCTTGTCTTTTACTGATGTTTCCATGTCACATTTATAAATGTCCGGCTCACAGTAACGCAGGACTCACTAATGTGGGGTGTCCCTGTCAAGTGGTGATCGTTTTCTGACTTGCACCTTGGCAAAAGGTAAATCCGGCGACTTTTTGAACTTTTGTATATTTGTCCTCCATTATGTCTTCTGGAAAACGATCCTTGATAGTGACAACTCTCTGTCCGAAGCACTTGAGTAGGGAACTCTTTTAAGATCTTGTACCTCAAGCTCGTACCAGTGTCTGTGCGCTACCAGGCTGTTTTCAAGTACAGCAACAGTATCATCATGTTGGAGGCACCACAGGAAGCCATGCTCTGATCGAATCATACCTGGCAATAGGACGATGTTTACAGTGCTATTTTCTAGCTCCAGTGTTTGTACATTAAGCCCTGTAAACTACGATAAGCATGGTGGGGACGTGTTGAACCCGTTCGATCTTCTGTGTCACCGCTCGGTATGTTGGGCCGTATGCCACAGAGACGTGCACTGGCATTGGTCTTACGGTGGAGAGTAAGATGATGAATAGTGCGAAAGTTGCGCTTACATTACTCCGCATGCGCACACTGTTGCGTTACAACCAGTTGGTCTTGTCTACGAAAAATATTGCAGCGTGAGATAGAGCCTAGATACTTCAAGAAATGTGTGGAATACAATGGTCGGAGGTTGATGTTGTTGTTTAGGCTATCATCATTCCGTGTATATTCAAAATACTTACTAGGTTGGGTTGACCTGGACGTAACATAGACCACATGCAAAGGTTACTGAGTTCCTGCTAAAGTGACAGAAGCCGTCAATAACGTTAAGCCATCTTTCATCTTTCATCTGCGAAGAGCAAAAGTAGAAAGAGGAAGATGAAGCAGGTCGTTGAATTATGTCAGGATCAGCGTGTCCTAGCACCGTGTCCTGTGATAGGCTAATGGTCGAGCCATACCAGTTGGTTAGATGTCCGTACTCTTTCGCTCAACTCCGTAATCATTGGTGTTGCATGCCATCAACCGATAATTTCAGCTAGATGACGAGGGCTTCATGATTCACTTTACTGAAAGTTGGGCTAAATTTAATGTAGACCACCTAGATAAAGTCCTTCTTTATGATCTGCAACCATTCATGCTTGATCACGAGCATATGGGTGCTGAATGAGCGGTCAAACGTGAATTTGTATTGTGTGAGATTCTAGTGATCTTTGGACTGGCACAGCTGTAGCAGGCCCTAGTTTGCAATCTTCACCACCAAAGTGTCAAACAACTTGGTCTACTTTGCTGTTATAGTCACCTAACGAAAAGGGCTTCACAACCGAGCAATTACAGTAACCTTAGAGCTAACGGTTATGTCACAGTTATCATAACACTAAGCAAATTCATCACAATTTAATGCCTCACTGATTTTCATGGGTCTAATAATTGGATATCTGGTTACTTTCATCAGAAGTGCGGGAGTCCTTAACCAACAGAAGGCAAAAAGTGAGGTGTATCGACCTTTTATGCGACTGCTATTGGCTGGGGGCGAATTATCAGTTCAATACGCAACGTTAAGATGCACCACTCTGGAGTCTGTCTAAGATTACTCTGTATACCGCATAACTAGTCTTAATGTGTTTATTAGTCAATGTCACTATCCTGATGAAAAGCAGAAACTGTGTATGCTGGATAGCCGGTTGTGTGTTCCAGTGAAGGTTCTAAGAAAAGACAAGCGACTGAAATTGCTGATCACATAGGCATTCACCCGAATGGTTCATTAAAAGCTCGAAGCCATCAGTTTGTTTCTCACTTCAGGCTTTCGTAAGTCGTCGCGTTTTGACCTTTCCATGTTTACATGGATCCCTGGGTTATGTGATCCGGTGTAACGGGTTAAGTGAGTTCTCGGAACTCTGTGCACATAGATAATGTAGGATCAGAACTAACATGTACTAGGAGAACGACCCAAATGTTGTCATCAGTCGGCTGAATTAAAACCCGATGAACGCAAAAGGGTTGTTTTGTTTTGCCGGGTTTGAAATGATGACGTCCAATGTTACTTGCATGGTTGGTTTTCGACAGGTGTCAACGCGAATGATCAGTGTTGCTTACGTTTTGCTAAACCGTGATGTCACAACTCAAAAGCGGCTGTTGATCACTGAAGACCAGTGTCGTTCATTTGCTGTTCTTAAGGCATAGCTCATTAACGGAGGTAGTCGGTTATCTTTGCGGAATTTCCGAAACCTTGATATCCCGTTTTATGATCAGTGTCAAACTTGCTTTGCACACTCCACGTGCCAGTGCACGTATGCAGAGAGCGATTTGAGGAAAATCGACAAATCGAAACGTCCAAAACCGCTACCTGTAAGCCCTACGTTTTGCAACTTCTTCGTTCGCCTGTTCTGGACGCCACGCTCTCATTGGTTCAGCACACCAAAAGCATTTTTGTGCGAATATTGTGAACTACCGCGTGTCACGAATGATGCAGTCGACATTTAGTTATCTCGAATCCATGGGGATTTTGGACTGAGTATCTTTAAACCATACAGATAGTTGCATTGAGGCTGTATGTGGCGAAATGGCACGCTGATAAGTTGGCATACCTCGATGTCGTCAGGATGAAGCAAACAATGTGAAGTGATTATGTTACCAGATCAGTACTAAAAAATCAAGAACAGATGAGGCACCAATTCTGAAACTCGTATTGCACTGTATTCGACCTGGATAGAATCCGATACTTATTAACACTATTTTACCTCCAGACAAACGTGCAGGAGAAAGATGCTGATCCACCAGTGGACAGCATGATCAATACCGTATTGCTAACGCTTGGAGGGAAGAATGTGATGCTCCGACCAATTGAATACGGTAAAGAAGCTGAGGTAGACAACTTCCACCGTTTCGATCTAACTGCCTTGTGCTAACGCTAGATTGGTGGTGCAGCATCCGTTCTGGGGGAAAACGTTGTTGTTCTTGTGAGATTCGTCCATCTAAGACATGAGCGCGTCATAAATTATAGATTCTATAAATTTTAAAAGCACTTGCAAAACGGGTACTGGACGGTGGTTTGCTGGATTGGAACCATTAACTCTTTCTTGAATTGGGGCTATTATTTTATGCCTCCACAAAGTAGGTAGGTGACTGTCATCAAGGCAGTACTGGAAGAAGCGACTACAGATACGAATGCATTTGGCACTGATGTCTTCAAAACCTCACCTGTGTTTGCTCTGGATACTAAACGAGTAATTCTGGGGTTGATGTTGTCATCGTAACCATCGGTGCCATACTGAGCCGATTATGTACTCCATCCAAATATGTTTGCATTAATGTCTCATTTGGATGCCTCGGCCTGTTGCTAGTCTGTTACGTACACGAACAACGATAACTCTAGGTGATCCATCTTTGGCGGGGTGGCGAAAGACTGCATCGGATATAAACATATTTATGTAACTAATGTCCTCCGGATGGCTGTTAACAATAGCAGTTATCTGATTTGAACGAGCCCGAGGCAGTGGCAAAGGCACTTTCTGTCTCTTATCTGTGAGTGATAAATCTTCTTACTCACGGAGGTTTAATTCCTTTGCTTTGTCCTTCGTCAAGTTTTAATTATTAGTTTAACAGCTAATTGTATGGTTATAACAAGGCGACTAGCTATACCACTGCTCGACATACCTAACATAACGAGTGAATTGAATGCCTATCATGTTTTACCTGAAACGGAAGCGAATTACATCGTACCGTCATCTTAAATGTAGCATCAAAAGGCTCGTTACGGGCACTAACAACGTGCATAGCAAAGCAAGCAAACTAAAGTATCTTACATTTATTTTCGTGGGTCACAAGTGATCAGTTAAATCAGCGGGGAAAGTGTGAAGTAGAGGCAGAGACAGCTTACGGAAGCCCCTCTGTGAACACCATAGCGAATAAATCGTGTCTAACTGCCCCCTAATATTATGCTGGTGACCACCCCGCCTTTGTTCCAATTTTGAGTTTAGACCGAAATGCCCAGTAAGAAAGAGCATTAGTAAACTTGTAAAGCAATACCCAGGGCAGCTATAGTAGTTTAGCGAGGTACTCACGGGGAGACCATAACCTGGACGACGTGGTCATCAGTCATCCCCGTAAAAGCAAGATAGTCATATTGACGGCTTTGTTTATGGGAAAACGATAGTGCGCTCCCCGATGTGGACTTATTCCTCTCGCAAGTTTACTACTCGATTTGCCATACCATCCATCCCCATCTTTGGATGACATCTTTATGCTAGATGTATCATCCACCGTCAATCCTTTTTCCTACCTTGTTCTGCCCATACATAAATATTGTTAGGACACGCGTTCCATTGTTTATCATCTTCTATACCATTACAGACTTCGTTGCATTTCTTGTTTACTATTCTTCGCCTTATTTTTTACCCAACTCCCAGGTTTGGATTGACGCTGGATCGCAAATTTTCTTCAGTTATGCCATCAGCCTTGGATCATTGGCCGCCCTCGGGAGTTACAATAAATTTCATCACAACTTCTTACGGTACGCCCCTTAGCATTAGGTTCGCAAATGGATTGTACAGCTGAATAACACAAGACCGTTTAAGAGCATCGGAAGGATCCCATTGATCTTTGCGTTTAAAGTGATGATACTCAATGGAGAGGTTAATCAGCCATCGGGACGCCAGCTGTCCGATACATTTTTCAATTACTTAGCCTTATTTCCAGGCAAGAAGCCATCCTATCAAATTAAACTTTTAGATGGCTCCATTTTGTTCACAGAACAATGGAAACCAATTTTTCAGCTTGGTTGTTAGCAATGAAACGAAGGTTTTATAACGGAAAAATAAGCAGATGTTTGATAGATCCAGTATAATGGTAAAGGCGAAAATTACAAATAATAACACATTGTCTTCAAGAGAACGCGTGAGTTACACGATTCAGCAAGAAGTTTGCATAAGCGCATGTATGAGTCTGGGTATAAAAGGATTATGACACCGTGCACTTTATGTTGTGCACTCAAGCCATCGGCTGATGCCCATGGATTATGAAGTGTTAATGTGTCAGTGAATCGTCTTGTTTTTAATTAGTGATAAGTTGCGGTGTGACTCTCTGAGGGAGAAAGTGACTGTTAACACAGTCGGCTGTAGTGCGTGGCTAGGTTAAAGCGATGACCCCTAGAAGATTTGCTTTTCTGAGTTTCGAAAAATGGTGACGCGTGTGTTTGGGGCTTTCAAGATTTGACACACCATTTCCAGGTTGCGCCGTAGACTTTGATAACGTCCGCTGTACATTCATATTGTTTTCAGTCAGCGCTGGAGGTGTGATAAAGCTTTTACGTTCTTAATCGTGCTGCGTTGTTCAATCTCGAGCAAGGCGAAGTAACGCTTCCGCCAATTTTCTGACGCTTGTATAGCGTATTGCGCGCGCTGCCTTACGTGCATGCAAAGCACTGTTGGAAACATTGAGACATACAACGTTCCGAAAGCTCGACGAAGGGGGCCGAAGTGTTACTCTCTCAGTCTTCCTCAAATAACTAAGGTCATTTCGCGCCAACAAGCCGAGATCGCGTGCTTTAGAATTTGTGCTCTTATACGGCAGTTCTAAGTCTCTGATGGAGTATGCTTAGAGCTTCCATAGCAATGAGGCTGGAATTTAACGTGATAAGATGGTTTGCATACCTCAGCCATCCATTGAGTTGTGCTGGGTGGTGCGTTTTGCACCTTCAGAGCCATTCAGATCAGATGGATCATTGGTTAGAGGCTAGCCAATCTCAGTCTCCTGGCCATTCAAGTTGGGGGTTGGAGTGGTGGTGGTTCCTTTTTCCTTAAAATGTACTCCTCGTAGCTTACTGCCGAACCTGCTGCCTTGCGGTCAGGTTTTTGAACCAAAGGCTTTGGTTGAGAACCCTAACCGTTCTCTTGTCTAAGTTTGAGCGACCTGATAATATTTTGCCCATGCGATACTATTAATCTCTTCGAAAAGAAATTCTTGCTGCCCTGACCACTGCAGATGATAAGCAACAGTGTCCTATCTGCTACATCGAGCAGGGTGAAAAGGGGGTTTGGATACTACAGCTCAAGTCTTCCCGTCTTCTTACACTTACGCTTTTTTGCACTTATCGTCTCGTTCCAACTTCACTGTTATTCCCCCTTTTTCAGCCCTTAATTTCTGCCCCCACCATGCTTTGGTAGATGTTTATCTTCTAGCTTCAACTCACATGTAAACGCGGAGCGTCACCCTTGCGCTAGCGAAAAGCCCATGTCTAAGCAAGCAGCTAAACCCAGTTCATCGACTTTTATTTGAAGCCCTCCATCCTCCCTC